TATCTTGTGATATCAAACCAGCCTCCTTTAAATAGAGAGAATAACAGCTTTTGGAAAACATGGTTATGAGAAGAGCTATACAAATGTACTATTGTTGTATGTCCAGTAAGCTATAGGTTAAGCCATTCCATTAGGTTAAGTATTGAGCATTCTCATTTTGGATTGATACAAGACTAAATCAAATGATAACGACTATTATTATGAAAAGAGAAAGATTAATTAAAACAAGACAATTCAAAACTAATATTTGTGAGGCTAAAAGTAAATCTATATTATTTTCAATTCAACAGACAACCCAAGACTAAATATTTCTCAAGGTATATTTTTGAAAATGGAAATAACATAGAAATATGATTGCTCGAATATTTATTTGATATATTTATTTGCAATCCCACATTTTTAGGAGCTGGAATGTATGAGGCATTCTGATGAGTTTATTCTGTAACATGCACGAACACAGTCGCTGAGCATGAATGGAAGGTTGGTCAGATGTTCGCTCCCGCTTGAAACAGCACATAAGATTCCCATACTAGGTGTTTTACTCTTATATCGGGATCGCATAGTGGTACACTGACCATATAAAAAGAGCAACACAAAGAAGAAATAAAAACATATTCTGGGCTATGCAATCGTGAATTTCCATCAACAATAATAGCAATTATCTATAATGACAATAATCAATAATAACTCCTATCATATTATTATCTTCTTACAGTATAATAAAATATCCTGATTCTCCAACCAAAATGTTTGCTTTGCTGCCACCTTGTGGTGATAATGGAGTGTAGCAGAGAGCATCAGTTAAGTATGAGTAAACACTTAATTCATCATTTATAAAGCATTGTTCCTACATTAATAATTCATTAGTATGCAGTTCATAACAACAGTTATAAATGTTTTATTCTTGATTAATAAGCCCGTCTATTATGTGTTTCATTATTGTGTTTTCATACTTTATAAATGATGGATTCCCTATTTGTAAATGAAGTATTATATATTTTATCCCTTGGCATAACTGGCACTGCCCTCTCCTGGTTCACCTCATATCTCTCAGACCGACATCAATTCATTGCAATAAACAACTTTAAATCCTCTACCTCCCCAGTCATCCACGGTGTCCCGCAAGGTTCTGTGCTTGGTCCCCTCCTCTTCATCATTTACATCCTTCCCCTTGGACAAATCATCCGTCGTCATGGTCTCAACTTCCACTGCTACGCTGATGACACCCAACTCTACTTCTCCACCAAGACCATCACCTCTGTCACCCACTCCAGTCTCACCACCTGTCTCACTGATATAAAATCATGGATGCAACAGAACTTTCTCAAACTCAACTGCAACAAATCTGAAATACTCATCATCGGCCCTAACTCCCTCACCCGTTCAGCCCAGCCCTTCTCCCTCAACATTGATGGCTCCATCGTCACCCCCTCCACCCAGGTCCGCAACCTTGGTATCATCCTCGACCCCACCCTCTCTTTTCTATCCCACGCCAACCACATCACCAAAACTGCCTTCTTTCACCTCAGGAACATTGCACGCCTCCGACCCTCCCTGTCCTCTGCCACCACCGAAATTCTCATCCATGCCCTCATAACCTCCAGACTCGACTACTGCAACAGCATCCTCTATGGTTGTCCCAACAAAATCCTCAATAAACTCCAATATGTTCAAAACTCTGCCGCTCGACTGCTCACTTCCACCCGCCGCTATGATCACATCACCCCGGTCCTTCGCAACCTCCACTGGCTCCAGTCAAATACAGAATAGCCTTCAAAATACTACTCACCACCTACAAGGCCCTAAACAACCTGGCCCCTCCCTACCTTTCAGACCTCCTCCCCCTCCACGCCCCAACCCGTTGCCTCAGGTCCGCCGGTGCAAACACTCTGAAGACCATCAGGACCAAGCGCCGGACCTGGGGTGACAGGGCCTTCTCAGCTGCTGCACCTCCCCTCTGGAACGCCCTCCCCATCCACATCCGTGAGGCTCCCTACCTATCATCATTCAAACAAGCGCTCAAAACCCACCTCTTCAAACTCGCCTTCACCTGCTAACCCCTGCACCCTACCCTCCACTACATGACCCATTCAGGACAGCTTCTCCAGTTATTCTTTTTTTTGTTTTGTTTTGTTTTTTGTTCGTTTGTTCTGTTTGTCTCTGCCTTGTAAAGCGTCTTTGGGTATTTTGAAAAGCTCTATAGAAAATTGATATATTATTATTATTACAAACCAATTATTAAGGAGTTGTAATGATTAATAAGATAATTGATAAAGTGTTAGTAAATGATTAATAACTTATCTAGATGTACATTATTCATGCATTTATATACTGTATATAATGATTAGGGACTATGTTAATATATGCTTTATAAACACATTAATACTGCAATTCATGATTAATTCATGATTTATTAAGGTAGTTACTACTCGTTAGTAAAGTGTTTTATGTGACCTCATCTAAAGTGAGAACTATTGTCACGGGGCATGATAAGCGATCACCATGTTTTCCATGGCACAGTTTTCACAAAACATGCAACTGAAGAAAAGTGCGAACAGTGGAGATCGATATGCTTGGTTAAAATGAATAATTCAATATGTAAATGTGAACTAATATGCAAAGCTCCTGGTTAGCTCCAGTCGTATATATTTACAAATGTTTTGTATACAGCCATGTTCTCCTGAAGGAGAATGTCTTTGTTTGTTTGTTTCTTACATGAATGAATGGCTGAGAGGTTTGTATTTAACAGTATATTGTTTGCATCTTGCAATAAATATTGATATGTTCTTGATCACTTTGTGTTGTGTCTATTTGCCTTTTCTGTTCAAAAACGGTGTTTTGAGACACTGCTGGCCTTTCAATGTCATTTATAAATGCTTTGTAAGGCATAAATAGTCCTCACTTTAGATGAGGTCACACAAAATACTTTACTAACGAGTAGTAACTACTTTAATAAATCATGAATTAATCATGAATTGCAGTATTAATATGCGTTTATAAAGCGTATATTCATAACCATTAGTGCATATCTAAATCATTATATATATAAATGCATGAATAATGTACATCTAAATAAGTTATTCATCATTTACTAACACTTTAGAAATTATCTTATTAATCATCTACAACTCCTTAATAATTGGTTTGTAAAATATATAATACTTCATTTACAAATGGGGAATCCATCATTTATAAAGTATGAAAACACAATAATGAAACACATAATAGACGAGCTTATTAATCAAGAATAAAACATTTACAACTGTTGTTATGAACTGCATACCAATGAATTATTAATGTAGGAACAATGCTTTATAAATGATGAATTAAGTGTTTACTCATACTTAACTAATGCTTCATAGTGTGTAGTTATTATAAAGTGTTACCGGCGTTTTTTAAAAAAGCAGGGGAATTTATTCTTCACCTCTTGGAGCAGACATTATGTCCCAATTGAGAAATGTCGCCACAGAGGCTTCAAAGCTAACTGTTACCAGTAACAGAGCTACCTGACCAGCAGCACAGGTGAACAGGGGACAAGGCCTCAGGATTTCACCCAGGAGCTCCCTTGAGACAAGATTCGAGGTGCTCTGTACAAAAGTCAGACTCTACTGTCCACAGTTTGAACCCTAACCAGATCCCAGCATCGCTATCGCTGTTTTATTGATAAAAGCAGCTTTCACTAACACAACAGCACATACTGCCATCGGTTACACACAGGTTAACCGTTAAGGTCACCATCACACTGGTCTACTTTTTTGGCCAAATACTGGTTGACATGTTCATTGAGTCACTCTCCAGACCTGCCACTGCTTTATTAGAGAAACATGAAACAGCTGCTCCTTTGGCAGTAAGAATTGGTGCTGTTCAGCCACAGCAAGAGGAGGCATTTCTCAACTGTTTTTGTCAACTGCAATGTCGACTGTTTTCCACATGACTGAGGCAATTATTTAGATTGTTTTTGCCATGGTGAGAGCAGGAATCTTCACTGTTCTTGCCGTAGGGCGAGAAGTATTTTTAACTGTTGTTGCCAAGGCACCAACAGGAGCTGTCACAGTGGTGCCAACTGTGAACAATGAACAAGTCAATTCAAAATGAAGTTGTAGCGTAAGTTCAGTCAGGAAGATGACACTCTCGCATGCCTAAACCCATAGTTACGTATGCACACTCATTATTTCCTTGCTGTTATTGTTTGTGGCTGCTGATCATGATATCAGCTGTTCTAGATCAGCTGGTCTCTTCTATCCAATAGCACAACGACACAATTACATCGTTGGCCTATCATCTTGCTGCTGTCTCTTTTTAAATATGACGTTCATGCTGCTGTTACGCAACCCTCCACCTCTGCCAAATCTTCGCAGATTAATCAGCTTCATTAACTCATCATTTTATCAGCTTCATCAGCCACTGGACTCCACGGGGGGATTTATCTTGCTGCTGCTCAGGGCAGACACCCCTCGATTACAAATCTCTCTGTAAAGTCCAAGCGCCAAAGACTCTGAAGACTTTATCATCACATATCATTTGTTCACAATAAACAATTATCTTTTCTTTATCTGACTTGTCTCTCCTGATTGAACTCTATTTTACTTTTCAAAAACTGTGTTCTTAAGGTTGGAGCCAAGGCTGGTTTACCAACGGGCCTCAGACCCTCAGGGGGCCCAAAGCAAAGATTCATCATCTATCAATTAGTTTGTGGTAATTTCATCAATTGAATTAATTTTAGTCAATACAGTCTAAACTAATGTTTACAATCACATTCACAACGGGAGAGGAGATCGGGTGGTGTGAAATTAAATTGACCAACAATGGCAGAATGTGTTGAGGAGATATTGTGGGACACTAAGAGAAATATGAATGAAATAAACTTCCTGGGGTTGATGTTTTTTGTAGGCACATGAGAGGCTATTGCTGAAGTATCAGTAATGTGAGTAATTTAACGATGACAGTATTGCATTTTAATCATAGGGGCTGAGCAAAAAAAAAGAGTGTAAAGACAATGATATAAGGTTATTGTTTAATTCCAGTTACATGTGATTTATGAATGTCTACATCATGAAGACAACAAGCAGGTCGTCACATACAATCACATATAGTATATTGAGGTTGCCTAACATTCAACACTACAGCGAACAAATCCCTGAAAATTGTATCATAGTTACAACAGTAAGTAAAAACTTCCACCTTAAGAACAAGCAAGTTATGACCATAATATGCAAGATTAAACCATATGTACACACAGCTTACAAAAACCTATACATCATTTTAAAGAAATAACTACAAGATACAACTCAAAAATGGTCTAATTTGGCTGCACAAATAGCCTACTTTAGATTATTCACTAATCACCTTCATTTATACACCATTTTTCTAACAGTCTTCATTATTGAGAAATAAAATGGCAAACATTTCATCAATTTAAAAAGGCATGACATAAGAGCTTTAGAGCTGATGTACGAATGTTTCTCAATTCTTCTGTGCATTATAATCATCTTACACAGCATCAACAAAGTGTCTTTGACTTCCCATTGTGCTGCTTGGATTCAGAACCTGATATTTTACAGTCATTAAGCATCTGCAAATCAAGTTTCATCCAAAATGAAAGAGAAAGTAAATGTAGTTTAAAAGTTCCTTCAAAATAAAACCAGATTGGGAATAATTTTTTCCATCTATGAGTTCTTTGATCACCATCATAACCTTAAGCTTCCAATCATTCACAAATCTGTCGGGTGTAAAAGGTGCGAGACAAGAGTGGCAGAGGGCCGGTGTGTTCCTTTCTTTGTATAAGTGCACATTTTGGTGGCTGCTGTTGTTTCACAGCTGTATCAAGTTCAAAGTGAAATGAGGGGCTTGATGTTTCTAACTTTGCTCCACAGAGAAGTTTGATTCGGATCTGTGGACAAAAAGAAAAAAAATTACGTTTTAAAGAGATTTCAAGAGATTTCAAGAGAAAAAGCACCAACTGACGTTGTCTGTGTGAGTGAACTTACATGTCTTGGTGCTTGTGTATCATGTGGTTGTTGTACTCCAAAACAGGAGGGATGCTCTCCTCATCCTCAGGAACCTGAAACAGACACAGGGGATCAGATCATGAGCCAGATATGCATATGAGTAATTTCATCGTCCAGTCTCTTCACTTAAGAAAGGACAAGACCGCCATCTAGTGGTAGAAAAGCCCTCTTACCTCCCAGTAAACTTCATCATCATAGCAGTTGTCATCAGCAGGGTCACCCCAGATAGGTAACCTCAGAATGAGACCTTTGAAGACAGAAAAAAAGCACTTAAACAAGACTTCTATCTTCAGTTTTAAGTTTTTAAAAGTAGTTAAAACCTATTTTGCACTTAAGATAATAAAATTTAGTCAAGTGTAAAAATCCCAGGAATTTCCCATGTGACTATTCCTGAGCTGCTAAACAAGCACTTTAGGATTCAAGGAATGTTTTCCTGCCAGAAGATTTAGCTCTGTAATCCTAGTAAATAACTAAACGCTTTCCTAACTATAACACACAGAAACACTAACATTGACACGTACCCTTTTTACTTCAATTGACATAATTTCTCATTTTGGCAGTTTTTCTTTCATATCTTTTCACTTGGAGGAGTTTCCTTTCAATAGAGGTCTTTCAAAACAAATTGTAAACAGCCTTTTAGGTGCTAATAAATATCATCACGCCTCTGGTTACCTTAACATGATCATTGAAACAGAGTGCCTTGTATGGAAATATAACCGCTTGCCTTTGTCTGAAAGTAATACTCAACACATTTGACATACTCACCAACAGCCGCTCCTCCAACAAGTCCAAATACAATAGCCACACATGTGCCAGCAGCCTGGAAGCCTCCCTGTGTTCCTGGCGTTCTGTCTGCAAACTCTCCTTCAAAGTCAAATGTCTCGATCAACCTGGGCGGAAAAATAAACTTTTTAATCCCACGAATGTTTGCTTCTGCATGATTAGATGAAAATAAACAATGCCTGATGTCTGGGTGTGTTTTTCCATGTCAGTTAGTGCTTTCCCTCATTATGTGTGAGTCAACAAAGATCAGGTTTTCTGTATTTGTAGTTATAGGTGTGTGTCGGTGTGTGTGTGTGTGTGTGTGTGTGTGTGTGTGTGTGTGTGTGTGTG